AGAGAGTCCCGGGTTCAGTTCCCATTAGGGGCACGTACCACAAAAATAAATAAATAAATAAATAAATAAATAAATAAATAATAGCAAACTCTATCTTAAAAATAAAATAAAGTTACTAAGAGAGCAGATCCTAAAAATTCTCATCCCAAGAAAAGATAATTGTAACCATTGAGATTACGAATGTTAACTAAACTTACTGTGGAAATCATTTGCAGTAGATACAAATACCAAATCATTATGTTGTATACCTAAAACTAATACAATGTTACATGTTAATTGTATCAACAAAAAAGGATTTATTTGGATAGTTAATCTTGTTTGCCCTCTTTTTTCCTACCTGGGTTACTCAGATATGGCTAAGTCCAAAATAAGTGCAGGAAAAATAATACTCTGTCATTTAACTGTACTAAACATTCAGGTACTTAAATTTTATCTTAACATAAAATACTATTCAATTTTTTAAAAAACATATAACTCTACAATCTAAATACAGAAAATATCATACATTTCCACTCTTTGAATCAATGAAAGCCTGGCTGCCCTCCATTTACAGGTTTGTAACATTACACTTGCCGACTTACAAATGCAGTTATCATAAAAGGTGTTGCTCAGAGGTGGCTTTTTTAATGCAGAGGGAATGTTAAAGGAGCATGCAGCAGGTAAGAAATGGTGTTTTCAAGAAAAATTTATTCTCTGCCTCTCAATAAAGCAAAAGCATTTCAGTATTAGATCCCCTCTGATTAGATTTTCAGATTGGTTCAGAGACACAGACCTAAAAAATCATTTGGGAAAACGACCTTACCAAGCTTTGTAAAAACATAAAACATAATTCAGACTTAATCAAGTGTCATATGATTGCCACCAAATCCGAATCCATTTTTAAGGCCCGTTAAGAAGCCAAGTAATTGTGATACAGTGTAGCCTCCATTTTATCTACACCTTCAGTACTTTTCTGCAACAACCTGGACAATTCTGCAAGCTAACAAACAAGCCAGGAGATTCTTAAATGCAGGAAATGGAAGCCAGTGGGAGAAACACCTTCCCTCTGCTGCTTCTTCCCCTTTGCTTTTTAATTAAATGGTAAATCTCAATATGAATTCATTAGAAGCCTGACAGCTCAATTAAGCACGATGTTACTATATACTCTGGGGCAATGCTTCAATATCAGTTAGCAGAGTTTGGACGTAACCTGAGCACAAAAAAAAAGTAAGCCAAAAGTTATATTCAGCTGACCATTTGGGAGAAAAATTGCAATTAAGGGGGACAAAAAGTCCCAATACCTACAGATTATTAAAATTAAATGATAAAAAGAACGTAATGGTTTCTCCTGCAGTAATAAATTCCTTCGATTTGGATTACGCAGTAAACCCCCTCAGTTCATTTTAATTTGAGTTCACTGCTACTCATATCCAACAGAACCAGTAAAAAAAGGAAAAAGGAAGCAACTCTCTGGGGGGGAGGGAGGAGTTTACTGGCAGAAGCATCCCATTAGAAGACACAAAGAAACTCAGAGAGAGAACATGGAGGACACAGGGAGGCTGTAAACCCGAGTGACATCTTCAGAGATCACGGTCAACAGTGGTCCTATTTCCACTGGTTAAATACATGTAATTTTTTTCATTTATCCAACAAAAACTAGGCAGCCTCCCATGGCGCTAGGCTGTGAAGACACACAGTAGTGAGCTCACCGTCACCATCCCGAGAAAGCCTTCCTTCCTCTGCAGGGAAACTGCGACACCCTCGCCCCACTCTCATCATGCATCCACATCACCTGGTGAGCTCTCTAAAAACCAGAATGTCATCCCTAGAGAGTGATCAGGCAAGAGTAGGGCCCACGCTGCATTGCCAGAAGCCCCCAGACTGAGACCCACAGCCGTACTCTGTCCATCGGCTGCTTTACTTCACAGCATCTAGCTCCTTCTAATATGAACCATAACTGGCATGGCATCAGCCTCCAGCCACCAGACAGTGAGCATCTTGGGGACAGGGATGTCTGTTTTGCTCCCTGTTGAACCCCCAGTACCCACACACAATGGGTGCTCAATAAGTATTTGTAGAATAAATTAATGAAACAACAACATGCATCCTCCCCTCTGGGATTATGCAATCTACCAGGGAGAGAAACAAGTAGTTAAATAAATATAAAACCACAGCTGTGGCAAGTATGAAATGTTCCATAGGAGCCCCGACCAGGAGCATCTGACCGCATCAAGGCACTGGAAGAAGTAACGCGGAGCTGGGGGCAGCTTTCCAAGAAAGAGAGAAGAGGGGCTGTGGGGAGAAGGAGGAGGGGGAATATGGCTCAGCCACAGGCTGGTAACACTGCAGCACCCCCACCTTGATATCAGGTGAATGGACAATGAGAAGCCTCCAAGGCAGGTCCAAGTAGAAAAGGGGCACAGTCCTGTTTTTCATCAGCAGTGCTGTGCATGATGTCCACCAACCTGTCAGGGTGGTGAAATGTAGGTAGGAAGTGCGCAATCCATTCTAAACCTCTGCCCAGCGGCTGCCATACAGGGCACCTTTGGGAATGTGGAGAAAGCAGGTTAATGACATGTACCCCAACATAGATGCCAGGGCAACCTCTAAGCAACCTCCCTTCTCCAGTCCACAATCTCCAGCCTGGCCTGGGGCCATTTTCTTTACCTGAGCCCATGGCCCAAGTCATTCTGGGCACCAGTCCATCAAAAACAGCTACCAACACAGGCCCACAGCACAATACTGGGAAACTATTTCTTATAACGAGTGCTGATATGTGTCATAAATCTCCAGAAATCTGAGTTAGGGACGAATACCAGGACTCCAATGCTAACTCAAAGGGGACCCCAAGGAACTTTGGGAAACTTGCTAAGCTTGGTAGACAAGTTTTCCAATGGAGAACCTATTCTTAGGAGCACCACAATATTTTTATTTTAACCATCCAGGTCAGAAGAGTTATAAAATGCATTACTTGTTGCTCTACTTTCTTATACAAAGGAAGGTGCACACCAGTGATGGCTCAGGGTCAACACTGCAGTCCATCAAATATTTACACGAGCTCAGGTTGGTGACAGGCACGGAGCACGGCGGGGGGATTTACAGGCGCACTCCTGAGGAGTCTGCAGGACAGTCTCGGGCGCCGGGCCAGCTGTTCTTAAATTGCAGTGCTTCTTTACTTTTGGCCGTTACATTTATAATTTCCTGGCCTGCTTCCTTGCGTGCGGGTTGCCAGCTGTCCCTTCTTCACAGATCTGTCTACAAGAATCCCTCTGTCCTTAAATTTACTGCTTCTCATCTACTGCAGGACGCGAAACCAGATTACCACACCGGTTAAGAACTGCCTCTCCAAAGTAAGATTAAATAACTTCTAGGTGAGAAACCCAAGTGACATTTCCTAAATCAGTCACTCTATTGTCCGTGAGTGTGTGGCCTTCATGACATTGGTCGCAGCCGTGCAGGGCTGTGCATGGTTAAGGACTCAGGTTTGGAGTCAGATGGCCCCGGTTCATATCCTAGGTGCGTGCTCTTAGACAAGTCACTTTTTAAAAAGTGTATCTTTATTGTTGAAAGTATTACAGATGCTCCCTTTTCTCCCCCCATTAGCCCCCTCCACCCCAATCCCAGCCCCCCTCCACCCCCAGGAGGCAAGTCAATTTTAAAGATTCCCCTACCTTCATCCATTCTGCATCTAAAATGAGTATCTTCCTGCTCAGTAGACACACAGATTAAAAAAGATGCTGCCCAACATACAACACACAGTTCACGCTCAAGATCTATTAGTTGTTATTGCTATTAGCAGCAGCGTCAGCAGGGCTAACATATATGTCAGTGCCAACAGGATATGGCTTCAACAGTGCCTGCCACAGCCAACTTCCCCTAACCACAGTCCCTTGTTCCAGGAAGCAACTTCAGGCTCTTCTTTGCAAAAGGATGGCCACCACTTAAATCAAGAACGGGGATGTGACAGGGCAGTCTTTTAACTGGTGAGGTCATACCACACCTAATATGAATGGCTCTCCCAGACCGAGTAATGGTCACCAGCAAAGCAGTCAGGCTGGCTTCCTGCAGGGCCTGGATGACAGGAGTCAGGACAGACCAGCCAGGAGCGGGAAGATACTCGCAGAGCAGAGGTGCCAGCCAAGGGAAGCAGGAAGGCCCAGGGTGGAAAGACAGGAGCCGAGGAGGCGCCCATCCCAGGTATTGTGCTGGGTCCTGAGAACTTAGTGGAACAGCTCCAGGTCAGTTTCTGCTCATGTCCTCTCACAATGAATCCTATGACTTAAGGTGGCCTGACTGATTTTCTGCTCTTTGCAACCTAGGAGCCCGAGAGGCCGCCAAGAAGAGGAGCTCCATTTAGATGAGGTACCCTCCTCCTCCCCCGCCCCACCAAATGTCCCCGGCAACTCGTGAGGATGGAAAAGTCAACTGCAAAAGGGGTCACCTGCATTTCTAGAGCAGTCAACAGGGAACCTGGAGGATCGGGACTAAGTTAGTACCTGGCTGCCCGACAGACCACTCTCCACCTGCTCCTACCCTGTGCCATGCCACCTGCAAGCTGCAACGTGAAGGCCCCACGCAGGTCTTTCCACAGCCCACACAAACAAGGGCTGGGTTTCCAAGGCATCTGCTACAATTTCCTGGGGATTAAGTATCAAGGAAGAGATGAGCAGTTATTTCTGTGGCTTAGTTAAGTTATGAAACTAAGCAAACCTCTGTGGTCGATTAGAAAATGACAGGAAGGTGGTTTTTAATAATAACGATACCTTGCAAACACAAGGTACATTCACACTCATTTGGACCTCTTAATGACCCTGTGAGGTGTTATGATCCCCAAGATGTGAAAACTGAGGCTGAGAGGTTAAGCACTTTGTCCAAGAAGCTGTGTGGGTCAGTTACTTCCCAGGTGCAGGGTCCCACATGGGCTCTTTCCAAAGTGCCTCCCAGAAGATGAGAGTGTATCCCACAAATTTCATTGCTGCTCAAAGCAATTGCAATGCAAAGAAAGTGCTGAATATAACTAAGCAAAAACCGTTGGTTCGCTTTCTCTGCCTTGGTTTTTAAATCACTTGCAATAGTGCCTCATTTGCACTTGGCGTCCCAGACCTTCCTTACCTGGATGCCCAGAGGGTAAAGCCGTGTCCCAATTCAGTGAGCCATGGAGTCAACAGTAAAAGGGAAAAGAGAGCAGGGCCTTGATTGACTGGCACAGCTAAAGAATGGCGTCCACCAGGTGAAGCTGCGGTTTCTGAAATGCAGGAAGGGCTGTGTTCTGCACAAGGAAGGCTGAGACCCGGCTCAGGAAGGCAGGGAAGTTTTTGGCTCCAGCAAAAACAAAACTTCAAAGGGAACAGAAGTTGTGGGAGCTTCAAAGACCCCCTGCAGGACCAATTAACACCTACTAATGTTTATCTAAGCAGTCATTTAATGACGGCTCACAAATGGGTGTTCAGCCTCACCTCAAAAATACCTTTTCATCCAAAGAGACTGGGCTGGGGGTGATGGCGTGGAAGTTCTATGATGTTTTCTGAGACCCTGGTCCAGAATAGAACAAATACTCAATACAGTGAAATTCATCACAGACTTATTTATAATAAACCAAAAAAAAAAAAAAAAACAAAACAGGATGGGGAACAAATTAAATCTCTAAGAAAATGTAAATGATTTAAAAACTATGGTGCAGCTACGAGTTAGGGAAAAAACCGTCAGGTAGCCATTAAAAATCCCATTTTAATAGGATTTACCTATTTAGTAAATGAGGTGAATGCTGTTGCATAACGTGAAGATAAAACAGTGTACAAACATACATGCAACAGCTGTCCGCAGGGTTACAAACCTACCGACAGGAGGGCGGGAGAAGGGTCTCGAGTTCGCGGCTGTGCTCCCAGTTCCAACACCTTTGTGTCTGGCACCAACTAAGCACTTAAGGCAAATGTGTTGAATTCATTCTTTACTAACTTTTAGTTAAGTCATTAACATATCAATGCAAGCAAGGTACCTGGATCTGCAGAGAGAAGGGTCTCCTCTCAGAGCTATGTGTGTGTCTGGAACAGGCTGACTAGGCAAAGTTTAGTAACAGTGGGGGGCTCTTTTCCAATTGTCCACAAAGGCTGGATAAAACATGCATCATTTTTTTTTTTTATCCTCACCCGAGGACATTTTCATTTTTTGTTCAGGTAGAGCGGGAGGGAGAGAGAGGAACAGAGAGAGAGAGAGAAACATCGATGTGAAAGGGACACATCGAGTGGCTGCCACCCGCACGACCAACCGGGGCCGGGGACAAACTGCAACCGAAGTACGTGCCCTTAGCGGGAACCAAACCCAGGTCTCTCAGGACCGCAGGCCGATGCTCTAACCGCTGAGCCAAACCGGCCAGGGCACATGCATCATTTTTTAAGCACTGTTTTTTGTTGGGGAGCCTGAGAACCTTGAAGTGTTCCAGAAACCTGCCCACTGTATCGGAACCAGAATTTTCCAGGGGTCCTGACATTTCTGCTGGATCTCATTGCCCAGCTGGAAAATAGTGGCTCCTAACGACGACACCCCCCCCACCCCGTCGCCATCCCTGGCAACCTCAGAGGGGAACCGCAGGGCGCTCAGAGAGGGCGGAGCTCCTGGTGCACTTCCTCCCTCTTCTCAGAGGGGCTCCAGGAAAGAATTCAAAGCAGGGTCTCCGCAAACAAGGTGGTCAATTTCCTTGAGTGAAACAGTTCAAGGAGTTCAATGCTGTAGAGTTAGCTTCAGGGGCCATCCTTATCACATCTCTGAGCCAATTATTGTTTTCCCCTGGGAAACATGTTTATAAAGAAAGGCAATGGGAAAAAAGACCAAAAACACAAACCCCTGAATGCCACTGACCTGATTAATGACATGTAACCAGGTAGAAATTTTGTTTGATTCTTTACAGTGGTAATATTTTGTAGAGGAAAGAGAATGATCTTCGGAATTCAAGACCCTGGTTAAAACACTGCCATTTACTCCCTGGATGCGACTCTGGGCTCCTTACTTCACCTTCTCGGGCCTGCATTCTAATCTGTAAAATGGGGATTTAACCCACTTCATACTGTTGTTCAAAGACTTAAATGAGCTAATAAAGGTAAATTCAAATAATAGTCACTGGACAAATCTTCCAGTTTTCTTGGGGGGATGGGAGTCCCTGTTTATTAAAGGAACTTGGTCATAGATGGGAAAACTTTTACATAAAAACACTTCCCGTCATTAAGCTCTTGGAAACATGAGCTCCCACCCTGGCTAGTGTGGCTCAGTGGTTAGCTTGCCAGCTTGTGCACCGAAGGGTTACGGGGTCAATCCCCAGTCAAGGTCACATACCTGGGTTGCAGGTACAATCCCAGCCTTGGTTAGGGTCATGTAGGAGACAACCAACTGATGTGTCTCTCTCCTCCTACCCCCCTCCTTCTCTTCCATTCTCTTTGAAAATCAATCGAAAAATATATCCTCGGGTAAGGATAAAAAAGAAAGAAACATGAGCTCCCATGTTCAGATATGAACATGGGACATGTTCATTAGACAACAGAATCCAATGACCACTTAGCCGGACCTGGTCCATTCTTGTTTTTTAATGTTTTTTATTGAAACATTAATGTTTTTAGAAGAGAGAAAGGGAGGGGGGGAGAGAGAGAGAGAGAAACATCAATGTGAGAAACATCATTCGGCTGCCTCCTGCACACACCCCATCTGGGATCGAACCTGCAACCTGGGTATGTGCCCCGAGCAGGAATCTAGCAACCTTTTGGTGTACTAGATGGATGACGCTCAGCCAACTGAGGCACAACGGCCAGGTGGACCTGGTCCAATCTTAAGAAACTGTGTTGAAAAGTGGACGTTATGAGGTCACAGCAGTTTTGTAAAAATTGGAGAACTGGGAGCCAGAAAACCTGGGCCACTTACCGGCTGGGCAGCCTTAGACAAAGCACCGCACCACCATTAGTCTCAATCTGCACACTGTGAAATTGCCTGACATGACACCTTGCAAGAGGTTTTGAGCAAAGTCGCCAGGCCCTATTGAACACAGCCTCTGCTGTGACCTTAGGGTTCTCAAGGTCATTGCTGGCAGGTGTCTCTAACACTGTGTCCTGGGGAGGCACATCTGCAGACCTCTGACACAGAGAACAACCTGAGGGTGTGACAACTCCCTTTTGCCAAGTCTGTCCCATTCAAAGCTGCTGTCACAGTCAGGGGGACCAAAGGTGGCCTCCTTTCCAGAGGCAGGGCCTGCCCAAGTCTTAGTAGCAAGCCATTCTCTGCATAACAAATCCTGCAGGCTCCTAGCTGAAGTCACAGACTCCACTCCGAACCTTCATTTGTTAAAGTGTCAATCAAGGTGCAAGCATCCCTAGAAGTAGCACACAACACCCCAACCTTTACTGGAAGATACCCTGGAAAAGAGCTCTCAGGTGCTCTCAAGAAAAAAAAGCCAAGTTCCAAAGTGAGAAAGGACAGAGCAGAGAACTAGAATCTCCCTCAGTGTGAGAAGACATGCTTGACAACCTCATAATTTTACAGAGTGCTGGCACTATCTGTATTTTTAAACTGCGCTTATGTGGTTTATTTTAGAAATACCTGTGGGAAACAGCCTGTGTGGCTCAGTGGATTGAGCAGTGTCCCATGGACTGAGAGGTCCTGGTTCAATTTCTGGTCAGGGCACATGCCCAGTAGGGGGCGTGCAGGAGGCAGCCTATGGATATATCTTTCTCACGTCGATGTTTCTAGCTCTCTCTCCCTTCCTCTCTCTCTTAAAAAAAAAAAAATCAATAAAAACATTTTTAAAAAAAGAAAGAAATATCTGTGGGCTTTCATACACCTGTGGGGAAAGGCACTAACATTTTACATTTAAAACCTGAGGCACACAACCTCTACCTTTCATTCTGGAAGAGGAAAAGAGTCCCGTAAGGTTCACTGCTGGCCCCTGCATTTGCTCAAGGTGTCTGCTATTCCAGTTTGGGGTAATGGGAAATAAGCAAATAATCATTTAAAATTACTACTTGTCCTGTGCACCTGGATTCAATTTACCATTCAGTTAATTCACAGCCTATTCCCTAAACCCCTTAGGGCCAAACTGAAAGGTCCAAAAAACTCCTATGGAGAATAACCAGCTCCAGGCATGGACTCCTTCTTAGCAATGAAAGGCAAAATGGGAGCCCTGGAGCAAGGGCTCCTCGGTCTGACAATGCCCTGAGTCAGGGGTTGCGTGTCAAGTCCTGAAACTATGACCAACTGTGCAGGTATGTGTTTTGTTTTGTTTGTTTTGTTTGCAGGTATGTGTTTTGTTTTGCATGGTTTGTCCAAAATCATCAGCAGCTTCCCAAAGGATTCCAAGAGAAACACCATCAATAAAGGTCTAGTGGCTGGAGAACTTTCCAGCGAGTCTGAAACTGGCAGAAGGAAACTGTAGGTCAAGGGGAAAAATTCAAGGAGGCTTGCATGCTAGAGCTACCCCCGCCACTAACCAGATTCCTAACCTGGGTGAATTCCGTAAGCACAGTCTACCCCTCAATTTCTAAATCTGTAAGATGAGGATGTCGGAGCTGAATGATCACTTAGTTCCAAGACCCTTAAAAATACCAGGATTAAAAGGCATGGCTTCAACAAACACAGGAAAAGATGTCAAAAAGGCCTGCACAGAATCCTGCCTGTTCCCAGAAGAGCTGCTTAAAATATTCACCACTGCTTTCCTTGGAGGGTCAAAGATAGAAGCCACCTCTCATTTCCTTCTCTTTCTTCTGTTTCAGAAAGCTGAATTTGAAGTGTCACAATAATACCTCGGGAAGAGATCTGAACTATGAAATTCATGCAAAAACACAATGATTCTGTAAAGATGCATAAGAAGCTCAAAGAATGTAAAATGGAAGCAATTTCTCTAAAGCCTCATTATAAATCATCTAATCACTGCAGCCACTTATTTTAGCCATCTAATCACATCTATTAATATACATAACTGATGACAATTAATTGTGGGTATCATAAAAAATGGATGTTTTAATATAATCCTGGAATTCTGGATCAAAAATACTACTACTCTCTTATAAGAGAAAAGTGTTTTTCTTCATTCCATGTAGCTCTCCATGCTTTTTATAATAAATATCTGATTTCCACGGAAGTTCAGGTAAGAGGAAAGTCTTCAACCATTTAACACTAAATCTTGATCAACATAAAGGATAATTTTCACTGAAAGTAACTTTTTTAGTACAGGTGAGGCGAAAGTCCTCAACCATTCAGCACTAAATCTTTACTGTCACATAAGGTTAACTTTCACTAAAAATAACTTTTCTTTAGTTGATACGCTTGTATATATTCTATAGTATCCTACCTCAGCCATAAACTTTCAATCTAATTATCTGACCCCATAAGTCCAAAGCAAATTTATATGTGGTTGCTTGTGGCAGCAAATTAAATTGAAGACTGTTCATAGGCGCTTGTTAATAAAAAAGAGTAGATGAAAATTGATGTTTTTACACACCACGACCAAATGAATGCTCACAGCACCCCTGAAGAAGTCTAAAACCCATTTCACAAAAGGATAAACTAATGTTCAAGGTAATGCATCAAAAGTCACACCACGAGTCAGTATAAGAAGTCAAACCCAGATGAGTTCTGTAGACCTAACTTCAATATCACCTCCTTCTCTAAAGCCTGGGAGAGATTGGCATTGAAGTGGAGGAGTTCTGCATCTCACATATGCAAGGCTAACAGAAAACATCAGTATAATTACCACAGTAGTTACTGTTACTCCAGAGCACAACAGGCATTGCTTCCTATGCATGGGTGTTCTCGCAGCATTTCAGGGCTCATTCTTCACCTTCATGGTTGTCCCAAAGTCAGTAGTAAAAGGCATTCAGGTTGGCAAGCACCATTTCTCAAAGATAAAGGTTCTGATAACCCAATGAGAGGAATGAGTTAAAACTCCTCGTAGACCAGGCTAATGAACATGAACATTCTGCAGCACCACCCTGTCCTTTCAAACAAGGTTAGAACTGGAAAGTGTACAAAAGGAGAACAGGAAGAAAATCCAGAAGTGACTCTGCTCAAGAAATCCCTGCTCGGGAGAAAGAGAAAACTTGTTTTTCTAACTAAATGCCACTTTTCCAATGAAATGCAATCTTGAGGTCTTGATCCATTGTGGTCTTTAATCATAAACCAAAATAAGGGTGTGGGTGTCAGGTTTCTTGGCCCAATCACAAAGAGGTCAAAAACTAAATTTAATTATCAAAAATTAAAGTCTCTAGGAAACCAGCCCCTCCTTCCCTTATTGCCAATCTCTAGAAAAAGCTTCAACAGAGACTGTAGAGATATAATATTTATTTGGGGAATAACAGGGTAAAGAAGGTAGGGTTGTATTATTGGATTGATGGTGTGTCCCAAATAAATGTGTAATTCAAATTTCCTAAGGTGAGATCTCAGCTCCAGCTCCTTCAGAAGAATGAAGACCACCATGATCCTTCTACAAGATTCGGTGAGATTTGCATTAGAAGACACTGAAAAGTTAGATTTCATCTTGAGTTACTCCACCATGAGCCAGACAAAGAAATTCCTGAAAGGCTATAAGCATTTTTCCCCTTACAAGCACCCACAGAAATAGGTCAATGTAAATGTCGTGTAAACAAAGCGGCTCATTACTAACCACAGTTTGTTTCTTTTGTGACACATTTTAATCCATTTCAACTGTACCCAACATTCACACATGAGGGCCCCTGAAAGAGAGTAAAATGTAAATTCTTAATTGACCCCAGCCTCAGGCTTTTCTCATGTTTGAAAGGCAAGGTGTTGGGGGTTGGGGAATTAGAGT